TGTTTCTTTCTTCTGATGTTCTGCAACTGATCTTGAAGAACAATCTTTCTTAGTATTGTTTTGCTTCTTAGTAACTCTGGTCATCCTGTGAAATTTTTATCTAATATTATTGAAATTTTATTTCAAAATAGACATCCATTTGAGATGGAAGGCCAAGTAGATAAGAACGAGCATGTTCAACATTCTTTTTTTTTTTTAATTAAGGTCACAAAGCTGCTCAAGACATTTGTGCTGTATACAGAGATGACTACATTACTGACAGTATGACCCAGAAATAGTTTTCCTGTTTCAAAGAAGCAAATTTCAAACTCACAGACTCTCCACATTCTGGCTGACCCATTCAGTCTGATGAGAATGAATTGCACACATGGATTAAAGAAGAACTGCATCAGACTGCAAGACAATTGGCTCAGAAGATGGCAAGTTCTCATGTTACTGTCACTCGTCATCTTCACTCAGAGGGTAAGGTCAAGAAACACAGTGCATGGGTGTCACATGCATTGACAGATAGAAACAAAGTCCAGTAATCCTCTATTGTCACCCATTTATTTACTTGACACCAGGTTGCTGGTGGATACAAAGAAAGATTCCTTTACTGGATTATCACTGGGAAAAATGAAAAATGGTGTCTTCTAATGAATATAAAGTAGAGAAAAGAATGGGTGAGTCCCAACAAGCAAGCGACCATGTAAGCGAATGATCTATTTGGTGGAATTGGCAAGGACTACCCTATTTACATCATTCAGACTATTGTCCTCATCTTTGTCACCATATTTATTACAATGTTTTGGCCGTTGTACACTCCAGCCTTCTTCAGGTGGTTGGAATGTTGAACTAAACCCTTTATTTCGCTCACTGGGGTAGACTGTTCCACGTGCCATGTTTAATGGATGTCAGTTGTCAGTTATCTCCTATTAATTCCCCTTTCCAAGTTCTCTACTGCCTTAACTGGGTATTGAACTCACACTCTTTGGGTCCTGTCACTGGATATAGCTAACACCTTTATCCCCTGTGCCATGTGTCCTCAAGGACACATGGCACAGTGGAGAACAGATTAAACAGTTCATAAAGTTGTAATAAATATGGTGACAAAGATGAGGATAATTTAAATAGTGTACATAATACCCCATCTCAGAAATATAAACTGGCAAGGACTAATTTATTATGAAATGCTTCAAAACAAACAAATAGTCAATGCTAAGCTCTGTACATTCAACGAATGAACAGAGTCTCAAAGAGGCAATTCAACTGAAAAGACCTAACTGGTGTGATTATTCAACATAACATTGCTTGCCCCCATGTTGCTCACATGACCAATTATATAATTAAAGAGCTCAGTTGAGAAATTCTGATACACCCACAATATTCTGCTGATTTAGCTCTTTCAGACTACCACCTTTTTCGGTGACTTTCTAACAATTTGAGGGGTGTTTCATTCAACAATGATGTGAAGCTTAAAATGTGGCTTGATGAATTTTTCAAATGAAAACCTAGTGATTTCTGTTGTTGAGACATTGAACAGTGGATCATTGATAGGAGTTTGTGCACAATGAAGGAGAATACAATGTGGAATGATTAATCAGAACTATTAATAAATAATAAGATTTAAAATAAATTGTAAAAAAAAAAAAAAAAATTTATGTAACAACCAATTATTTTCCTTGGTTTTACATCACTTACCAGTAAAAAAAAATGTTTATACTATTGCAAAAGAACGATGATAAGTTTTGAGCCAAGAAATTCTTAGAATTTTTCAATATCTTGAATATGGAACTGTTGTCCAAAGATTATTTCATAGAGTAAAACAAGGAATAATCTGACAGCTTTAATATATAAGATTAGCAGATCTATTATCACAATGTTGAATACTTAATAAGAAAAGTGATAAAAACATAAACAACTATATCCTTTCCTCTATCACTCCTATTTGCTCTCACTCCAACTCTCTGTAACCCCTTGCATGCTAGTGGCTTCCCGCCTTGCTTGGGGTGAAACGCTTAAAAAAAAAAAAATTAAAATAAATAAATTTCTAATGTGTCTCCATCTAAACTTTGAAATTTTATTTATTATTTTTCTTCAATAGGAGTAGATAGGTCGGCCTATTGTTCAGTTCATATTGTTAATGGTCTTTTGAACAGGAGTAGAGATTTATCCCTTGTTTCCTGTTTCCTTTTAAAATATTTTTCTCCTCTTTCAGTAACCTATTGCATTTTAGTGGCGTTATCACTTTGTTTTTAATCAATTTACCCCAAGCAAACTATAAACAAAACTAGCTAGGCATATCTATAAAAAAAAAAATTTGACATATAAAAGTTTAAAAATTTGCATGTTTTTTTTAATTCCCCCCTCCACTTTATGTGCATGTATAGTTACATCAATAGATTGATCACTTTAGTCAGATGAAGGATGAAAAGTGTCACACAAAATTTTTTTCCCCAGTGTCATTAATTTTCCTAAGATTATAGGATTACAATGGATTTATATATATATATATATATATATATATATATATATAAAATAGCTGGCCAGCCACTCATAGTCGAGGATACCCATCTACTAGTGTGGCTAGCCAATCCCTATGGCAAACGCTTGCTCAGGCACATTTGTGTTTGCTCAACACCCACAGAGCCCACCTGTGGTTTATACTGCAACTATGCTGAGCAGACCTTAGTTACAGTTTCTGGGTGAGAGCATGTTATCCATCATGATCAACAATTTAAACAAGGCTAGCATGCTCAAGCCCTCAGTCACAATGACTTGTGGCTTTGTGCTAGCACAGCTATTGGCAGCCCTCAATATTTCCGTCTACCCAATTTCACTCACAAGGCTTGGGTCAACTTGTGGTAGGGTTTCCAGGCACTTTCCAAAGGTGCCGCATGCTGGAGTCAACCTCGATCCATTCTGATAACATCAGGAAGACTCCTTCCTGACAAATCAACTATGGTGAGATTCGAACCTGGGTCTCATGGTCCGAAAGCGAACGTTCTAACCACTTGACCACTTGTGTTTTATATATAACACAAAACAATAATACTTCCTATTTCATTATGTTGGCCTATGACATTAGAGATGAATGCTAGTCGTATGACAGTAAACATTTAACCACCCCACCAATAAATCATGTGTTTGTTTTTAATAACAACTGAACAGCAATTTGGCAAAATTTCCTCTGACATGAAAGGTTCATACATACAAGTTAAATGTATCATTGTATTCTTTCATGCAGAAAATATTTACACCAATTGACATTCAATGTTTACTGAAAGATTATGGTTAGCAAACATTAACTATGAGCATAGTTAAGTAGTGCATAATGTGTTACACTTGTGTGTGTGTGATTGATTTGTATTTTATCAACCCTTTGGAGGTTATTTAAAGCCAGAAATCATTTGTAGATTGTAAGAAATTGTTTTTGGAGATAAAAAATGGTTTAGGAACACAAATCTTACTAATTAGCCCATAGATGGGGGGAGAAGAGGTAGAGTCATATCTTTCTCAAAGGTATTTGCACGTAAGTGAATATAACAAACCCAATGGGAATTGGAACTTTACTCTCCGATTAACAATTCTGAATTATTATCCATTACACCACCCACACATCCAAGCTTACAGCACTTGGTATTCCCAAGCAGTCACCCATCAGCTCTGAATGACTGTCAACCCAGGATATGAAGAGCTTGTATTCATTACAGATTAAAATGCATCGCCAGAAAAAGATGTTTTGTCACTGAAAACTTGCTCAATCCAGTGGTTTTATTGGGCTCCTTGTAACTGTTGTAGTTTCCATTGAAATAAATAAGCATTACTTCAGATGCATACCTTGCACATAGAGAAAAAAAAAATTAAATTACTATCAATCTAAAATCAACCCCCATGACTACCAACACTTCAATGGCAAACTCACATCAAGAATGACCTGAACCCTACTATCCCTTCAAAAACAACCATACTTTCACTGAAAAAAAATGCTAAACCCAGTAAATATACAAGGACATGCTGAAAAGTTCTCAGTCTGATCTAATTCACAAGATCTGAAAAAAACAGAATATTTTTTAATCTTTTCTTGGTTAATTAGAGAACTATTCAGCATAATCTTTTAAGAAAAATCCTGTGATTTCTTAAAATTAATACTTTCTGTAGAATTTTAAATTTTGATAGCCTTAAAATATTTGTAAATATTTATCTAATTACTAAGGAATTAATGGATTTTATTTTTAATCTGACACTTTTTATTACTCTAAGCATATTTTAGCAGATACACATGTTTGAGCATATGCCCTGATTTTTTTTTTTTTTTTTTTAAATGGTGTTAATTACCATCTGCTGACCTTTGTATTCAAGAATCTTAATAGAACTTGCATTCACCTTTATAGGATAAACTATCTGATCCAGGAGACTGTTCAGCCATAGAGAACTTCATGCAGCCCAGCAAGGTTTAATTATCGTAAAATATAACATTTAAAGTACTAAAAAGCAATGTCGGATTAGAAATAAAATCCATTAACTCTTAGAAATTAATTAGTTTACATTTCAAATACAGAAATAAAGTTAGCACAGATATGGGCTTTTGGGAAGATCTCAATGAAATGTGCATTCTTTAAAAGGCTAATTGAACTATGCTAGCCTGTGAAGCTCTCTGTCAAGTGGTTTAGAGCACACCAGATCAGACAATGGTGGCCCTTTAAAGGGGTACACTGGTTAAAACCATATCAGAAGGTATATTTTCTTTATTAAGACTCTCAAATGCACAGAAATTCATACTGTTTAAAAAAAAAAAAAAAAGAAAAAAAAAGGCCTTTACTCAAAGATATATATCCACTGAAATATGATGTTTAAATTCATAAAAAGTAGTTATGTCCATTTCACATTGTTAATATGGCTCTCCCAGAATTAAGATTGGCCATAGAAAAACCAATTCCCTAAGAATAAAATGTTTGAAAATCATGCAACCTAACAGCAACAATAATAAGAATAGGTTATATTTGGTTGTGTATACTCACCCACTAAACAGGGAGACCATCAAAGCAAAAACTGTGATACAGTAAATAATAAGACTAGCCAATGAAATGATGAACAAAACATATGCCTGTGTCTGCTCATCCATGATCAGAAACTGAAAGAGTAAAAAAAAAAAAAAAAAAATTATTTAGTTTTTGTACGAACCTCAACAATATAATCATGTAAAGCAAATCATTCTGAATCTTAAAAACTTTATTTAAAAAAAAAAAAAATCACAGAACAAAAACAAAAAAAGCAAAATAAATTCAAGACTGCAAGTTTGATTTACTGTCAAAGCTCAGATGGGTTCTTTAACAATTACTGACCCAATGTTTTCAATTTTTATGTTAAATGAAAAAAAAATAAAAAAGGTTGCTGAAGAGTTAGGATTAACAATCAAAATTAAATATTTTACAAATAGCAAAATTTATTCCAAAATATATCAAGTTACTGTCTCCTGAGACTAGCCCAACAATTATTATTTTTGTTAGAAACAATAAAATATAAATTCTTTGTTAGCAGTTAAATATACTAGAATTTATTTTTTTTTTATAGTTTGGGTAAAATTGATACATTTTTCTTTTAACATGAAAAAAAATTTGGTCAGTAGCTAAGGTGAATTATTAACTTCTCTTAAAAATTAATACTAGATTTTAATTGAACATTGTTCAAAGTGAAAGCTAAGTAGAATAAAAAGTTCCATGATGTATCCATGCAATTTAGTAAGAGAACATACAGTAATTAATATATTTGAATGATACAACAGAAATAGTTTTGAATATATATTTCAACCAGTTATACATATTTTATTTATTTAAACGTTATTTTTAGTGGATACTCATATTGACCTCAGTTCAAATCCTGCTACAGAGCACATATTTTTCTCTAATATGATTTCTCAAATATTCAGGCCAGTAGATGAAAATAAATATATTGTTTAATAAATAAATGGAGCATCTATTCAAATACGAGTACCCACTAAAAATAATGTTTAAGTAATAAAAATCTGTCGAATTAATAAATATATATATATATATATATATATATATATATTATACTACTAGTAATACTTGACTGGGAAAAACCTTGGATAGCACAACTTGTAAGTCTATCAAAACAAATTGGTGCTTGAAGAAAAAAATTGAAAAAAAAAATAAAGAGGAAACTAGAAACATCCAAACAGGGAAAAATAAATCATCCAGTGCCTTAAGTTTTTAGTCCAAAGAAAAAAACCCAAGCGAGTAATAAAGCTAAAATGTAGATTGCTCAATAGTCTAAGTAGAGCAGGAATAAAATTGTTGCTGGCTCTTTAGGATATATATGTGTGTGTGTGTGTGTGTGTGTGTCATCCACATACAAGCCTGTTTCGCTGTATCACAGTTCATTATTGTGGCTAGACATTCAATTGCTTCAAGCCAGGATCGAAACCTGGCTGATTTGGCATCAGTTAAAGATCCTACCCCTAAGCTAGAGAAAGGGAAATTTTAACGTATTATATATAGGATGTATACAAACGCCAGCAGCCGGAGGGCTCAATTTATTCATTCATTAATAGCAGCAGCAGCACCTACTGTTTTTGAAATTACCCATTTTTCTATAGTGCTCGATCGAATAACATACACACACTTTATCCAGCATAGAGAAACTGCTGATTTACAATCAACTGCACTGGGCAGGACATCTCAGGAGAACGGGAAATGAGATTCCTTAAGCACTTGTTTTATGGAAACTTGCTCTTGATAATCATCCCAGATACAAACCCAAGAAATGTTTCAGCATTATGGAAGACAAGATGAAAACTCTTGAAATTCATGTTAAGCATGCAGAGAATAGGTCTGGATAGATAAAGTTTTTTTTTTTTTTTTTTTTGGTTGCAATCATTTTGAGGTTAAAAGGATTTGAGCATTTGAAGTGGAAAAGAACTCTTAGAAAAGGCGATGTAGACTCAATCCCAGAAGATAGTTTGTATGTAACATCTATGGGAAAGCTGCTTTATCTGGCGACATATTTGCTAGCCTTAGATCATATGAAAATTGGCAATTTCATGCGAACTATATGAATGACCTTCCTGATAGACCTATAGTGTACTTATGTCAGTTTTGTGATAAAATTTACAGGTCTGACACACGGCTGAAGTGGCATATGAGAGTGTCAAGACTCCAAAATTCTTTCTGCCACATTTATAAAAAGTTATGCAGGAGTGAAGCTTGTTTGCAAAGTCACCTGTGGCCCCTATGGCCGCTCAGCTCAACATTGAAGAGAAGGCTGCCTTCTGTAAAGAAGTTTGGTTTGGTTAATTTTGTTTAGTGACATATCAGCAGGTCTATGAGTTATTTAATGCTGAAATCTAAATATTTTGAATGCAATTGTATGCCTTTAACTAAAGATAAAATGTATTGTTGATAATTCCACTACAGAATGTATTGCTGGACATTTTACTTTAATATTGTGTTGTTATTTTTATACTTTCATAGTGTTTTGTTTTGGGGTTCACTATTTGTCCATAGCTAGAACCCTAACAGATGATATCATCCTGACACTCCTGAAAACTTCCAATCTCCTGATCAGAGAACTTGCCGCCTGATGTAGTTTATTGTCATACTCTGTAAAGAAGTGGCCGTTGTCATATATATATATATATATGGATCACTTGGATTTAATTGATACATTTCATTTCTGATAATAATAATTTTATTGCATATTGTAATTTATATGGGTCACATGTCACACTGCATTATTTTGTCTTATTTAACCTAACCAGAAGACAATATTAAAATTAGATGCGGTAAAAACTGCTTCTATTGCAATCAAAACAGTCTTTCTGTTACTAACAAATTATACTCACAAAAAGGAAGATTATATAGGCATAGTTTGGAGACTAATAAGAAAAAGTACAAGATAGATAACAGGCTTAAATATATTTGTGACTATTTACAGAAAAGTGGTAATAATGGTGTTGCTATTAGTCCATACTAAGTAAGTATTAAGGATTTTACAAGTATATAAATATCCATTACGAAAGAAAGTGTTGTTGAATAATGACTGGTTTCTATTCTGAACTTAGCTTCACAGTTGTACACCAGAGGGCGCCATCTGCATTTTGGCCCGGTCATCTGTTTGACAATAATAGCCTTTCTGAAAACAGTTCCCCAAAAATCATGTATCAGTTCCAGCTGATGAGGGCAAACAACTCATAAGTGTACAGTATGTACAAATTAAATATACAGATGACACAGATACATGAAATTTAATTAAAAATGTATACATATACATAAGACATAATCTTACACAGATAATGGTAAATGTTATATTTGCTGCATTCATTACGTTTATAGGCAGATAAAATATGTGATATCCACTGAAAATCAGAATGATTTCCTAAAGCCTATAAAAGGCACAGAATTCTTCAGTATTAATGTACTGTCTAATACTGAAACAAATTAATTCAAGTTAGTATTTTTTTAGAGTAAGATACTTGCCGATTTATCTCCCTTGGATGTTTAAGTGTATTTTATATATTTGTTGATATCTAAGGGAAATAATTTCTAGTCGTCAGGTTTCAATTATTGAGTCCATTATTATCAAAAATATTTAACACTGAAAAAATGTTACTATCAGCAACACAATGTGTTAGCACCAATTCTGATCATATTTAATAAATGGAAAAAGATCCTAACATTGTCTGCACTCATAATCATCTAAGTCCCTAATATAATAGTCTTATCAGTAATTTTTGATCATTGATAATCCCTTTCTTCATGAATTCCCATGCTTTCCTATATACAAGGCATATCTATTAAAATAACTGATAATATACTTTCATATATGTATATAAATAATTCACTTACATATATGTATTTAATATAATGCAATTAGTAATAACTATATAAATATTGTTCCCAGTGCACAACACAGATTGGATGCTAAATCTTGCTGACAAATTTTAGTTTAAAATTTGAAAAATTTCCCTTTTGCTAGAAATATTTAGTTCATAAGTAAAAATAACTGAAGCTGAATATTGAAATACCAATAAATATAGTGGACAGCAATAATAATAATAATAATAATAAAGCTTCCTTGCTAAAATACAACCATGTTTACTCCAACCCCATTTTTCCTCTACCATCAAAATTTGCTGTCTTACTTCATATTGCATCATTAAAGCAAATCAATGTTTTGATGTAAATGTTTAATCAGTCCTACCTGTGATAGTTTCAAGCCAGTCTGAGGTACTTTACCAAGGCAAATTTGCCTTCATAAAGTACCTCAGAGGACAAAATGTGTCAGCTAAGACAAGTTGTACTTTTACAGATGTACTCTAACTGAAATTTTTACATACACACACTATATATATATATATATATATATATATATATAAACACACTGAATATATATTGAGGGAACATCTGAAAAACTTAAAATGCAATTATTGCAAAATTATAACAAAAGATTTCAAGAAACTAATTTTTTAAACTCTCAAATCAGTAATAATTTTTTTTTAAAGATTTTAAAATTTGAACTCAATTTTAATACTTATTCTCTACAGGTTTAAATAAATTCTACTTATTTTTCAATAAAAAGTATTACATTTACTAACACTTCAGGTTTTGGCAATACCTTGAGTTACAACTTTCCTTTCTATCAAGTATTTTTCATATTTGCATGCACAAGCTGTAAATATGAGACTTTAAAAATCTAAGTTCCTATATTCCTATTGAAGAATTCAATCTTTATTTTATACCAGATACTAACTGATTATATTTTAAGAGAGACTATTCTAATATTTAATTTTAGAATTGTTAAAAAAAAATGTGATTTATATATTTTAGATAATTATTTTTATTATTTAACTGTGAATAGAATGAAAAATAGTCTTAGGCAAGCAAAATAGTAGTAAGCCCCAACCCACACAATCTCGTACAAATTAAATAGTAATAAGGATCATATGACTACATATCAATATAAACAATAGGATAAAAAAAACCAAAAAAACAAATGTATACAAAAATAAATAAGTAGCCAAACATTTCAGAGAAACAACCACACAAACCCAACTTACGGGGAAATGCACTTGGCCAAATCCAATTCTCAAAATTTGACAATAACCAAACATTT